CTAGTCTTTCTTGACACGAAAATACTACTTCAACAACCCAGAAGATGGATTTTTCAAAAAAACTAAAAGGAAGGTAGTGCCACCTTCACCTATGACTGGTACGTTTATTCCCTTCTCTCATCTTTAAGGATGATTTTAAACGACTTACGGTGGTGGGGCAGGGAGCGTGTCCTGTATGTCACTGTTAGGTGGTAGAAGGTAGTAATCTGAGGGACCTCAAAAATCGTCAAATAAAGAGAGCCATGGAAGTGGAGTTCTTCTCTTTTTCACATAAATCTTCTGAGAACCCAGTATACAAAGTGGATTTTAAAAAAAGAAAGAAAAAAAGAAAAAGCTGAGGGAGTGGGGAAGCCAAAGCTGTTATCCCTGGGTCTATGTTCCTTGCGGTTCCTGAGGACCCACAGCTCTGTGGATTCCAGTCAGTCCCAGCGCCACCGACTGCCTGGATCCGGTTGCTCACAGATGGCTGCCCCGCCTCTGGCTAAATGGCAAAGAGTCTGCTGCTTCCCAGGGCCAATTATTCCTTGTTGGATATGATTGCTGGCCACCCCACAGTTTTTGCTCTAACAGATTTCTTACTTCCACTGATTCTAGTCATGTGAAAGTGTAGCATATTTAAAGTAAAACGTAAGATAGTATTCTGTGTTGACCGTCCTCCCATTTCAGAGCTCATTTCTGTAGGTAACATAACCAGTATTTTAAAACCATGCAGAAGGGACTGGAGTTATTTTAACAAGTCTTTCAGAAATCCTGAAATAAACAAAAGACCAATAAACATTTGCAAAAAAAAATACTTGACCTCACTAAGAACTTATGAAATTTACATTAAAATGAGATGTCCTTATTAACCCATTAAATTGGCAGAGATTGAAAAGAGGGACCGAAGGGACGATTGACAAAGTCAGGGAAAGTTGGCGCTCTCACTGCTGGTAAATGCTGGGCCTCAGTGAAGAGCAGCCTGACCGCATCTGTCAGATTTTAAACTGTACAAACCACGTGATCCAGACTTTCTTTTACAGAAACGCTTCCATAAACATGCCAGTTTCTGTACGAGACCATTGCTGGCTGCATCCTTTATTGGGCCAAAAGAATTGGAGACAATCACTAGGTTCACCAAAAGTGATTGGTGTGACCAAATGGTGGAATCCTACGCAGACATCGAAGTATTGAGAGGAATCATGCCAGTGGGGAAATACCATCTGTAATATATTAGTTTTTTTAAAGAAGCAGAATAGTAAGGAATATCCCTTTATTTGTGTGTATGTGTATAAGCTCGTGAATGTGTGCATATATATTTATAGAAAGATAAGCAACAAATAGTTAAGTGTTTCGAGGGTAGGCACAGAGGAACTTCCTGCTCTATACTGTGTTTGAATTTTTCTACAGTCCATTTGTCCTAATCGTCCAATGCGTTACAGACTTACAGAAAATCCGGAAAACCTCCGGGCCAGCAGAGGTACCGTCAGTGGTCTCTTGTGCTTTTGTCTTAGATCCCACCATGCTCACAGACATGATGAAAGGGAACGTAACAAACGTCCTTCCTATGATTCTCATTGGTGGATGGATCAACATGACGTTTTCAGGCTTTGTCACAAGTAAGTTGCAGACCCAGCAGACTTCTTTATTTTGTGTTCTTTTGCCATATGCCTCTTCAGAGAAACCCAAGTGCTAGTTAGACACTAATGTCACAGACATTAATGTCACTTTTTTTTTAAGGTTTTTAACCATAGGGTAGTTGCAGTTGCCAGAGACAGAGACAATGAGGGAGAAAGTGAGAAATCACCCGCCAAGGGGATGGCCACACTACAGTCCTCTCTCCTTCATTCTCCTCCTGGGATTTTGGGCACACACACACACATGTGCCTGGTGTGATTTTCAAGCCGCCAGGTCCACTACTCCCCGCTGTGGTCAGCCACGTGGGAATCCAGCACCTTAACCATTATACCACATGCTGGCCCCCCTACGTGCTATGTTTAAAGATTTGTTTTTGTTTTTTCAAAAGACCAGAGAGCACCTGTGCTTACCAGAGAGACAGAGAAAGGACCTCTCAGTGAGACATGGTCATGCCACAGTTCTTTTTCCTACATTTCTCTATCCCATCAGGATTTGTTTTTCAAGCCGCTTTCAGCCGTGTGGGGCTTAACCACTGTGTTATGGGGCCCATCCACAGGTTCAGTGTTTCCTTTGGGAAACAAATAACATTCTTTGAACAAATACATTTAGTATTTTATGATTTTATGGTTCTTGTCCCAAACTGCTCTAAGTTTATGATGTGGGTGCTATTTTACTAATAGAAACTTAAGCGAGTATCTTGCTAGTGTGCATCTGGAGCCATTGTGAGAGTCTAGCTGAGAAGGATAAAGGGAAGCCTATGTCTCTTTAAGACATTTATTTATTTGTTTGTTTGTTTGTTTTTAATTTGATCAGAGAAGACAGAATGAGGGAGAGAGAGAGAGGGAAAGTGAGGAAACAAGCTGCCAAGTCCAGGACTTGAACTGTGATCGGCCATGTGGAAGTCCAGCACCCTTAACCACCACGCCACCTACCAGCCCCAAGACATTTTTTTAAAAGAATTATTTATTCAATTTTACTTATTCATTCATTTATATAAATTTGACCAGAGAGAGGGAATGTAAGAAAGCAAGCTACCAGGTCTGGGACTGGAACTGTGGTCGGCCATGTGGGAGCATCCAGCGCCTTAACCACCATGCCACCTGCTGGTCCCCAAAGCCTATGTCTCTGTGACTATATTTGCTGGATGTTGAGGTAATTTTCCATTTGTTTATAAGTCGATTTGATTTTAATCAGTTTGGTTTCCTAGTAATACCATTCTTTGTATGTATATATTCTACTGAGGGCTTAACAGGCCAGTTTTTCCAGATTTTGGGTCACAGCTTAGTTTGAGTCCCTGCTTCCTCGGCAGTCTGGAAGCTGATATTATTTAGGGAAACTAGAACAGAACGACATTTTGACTGTTTTTTTTTTTTTTCATCAGGAATTGCCACACATACCTTGTGGAAATCATTTTCCTAAAGCTGTATGGCACCTCTTCAGGGAAAGAATATTCACACTTAAACTGTCCTAAAAATAAAACCGCTTGGAGTGCTTAAGAACTTTTTCTTCCTTCTCTGCAGCCAAGGTCCCATTTCCACTGACCCTCCGTTTTAAGCCTATGCTGCAGCAGGGAATTGAACTGCTAACATTAGATGCATCTTGGTAAGAACGCTCTTTTACTTCATAAAAACACAAACCGAAATCTAAATCCAGTATCTCTTACAGCACTTGTGATTTGCATATATCACCAGAATAGATTTTTAACGTTTTTTTCATTAAAATTCTACTCCAAATGCCACGGGTGAATTATAGCAGCTATTACATAAGTATTGTCAAGGAGAACATGTGTTCGGGAACCAGCAGTTGGCGTAATGGCTATGTCGCTGGACTCCCACGTAGTCGACCGTGGTTCGCGTCCCGGACCCGGTGGCTTAAAACTCACGCTGGGCGCGTGTGCGTTCGTGCCCAAGATCCCGAGAGGAGAATGGAGGAGAAGGGATTGCGGCATGGCCATCCTCCCTGAGGGTGATTTCTCGCTTTCTGTCTCTATGCCTCTCTCTGTCTGTCTGGCAAGCGCACGCCCCCTATAGCAAAAACCTCTCAAAAAAAAAAAAAAAAAAAAGGAGTGCATGTGCCAGCCTGTTTTCTCCAGCTTTTTGGGACCCAGAATGTAGGGGTGGACGGGGCAGCCCCAGAGAGGTTGAAAGACAAAGCCAGGAGCTCTGACCAGGCAAAGTTTTTTAGTGACACCTGGGAGCTCATGGGCATAGATTTTTTTTTTTTTTCCAAAACACATTACTATTGATGATGACATTAACAGCTTTCACTAGTGCCAGTCACTGTGTGGGGTGTTTTCCATATTTTATCTTTAAAACAAAAGGCTATGTAGGAATTGAGAGTTGACTACAAAGTCTCCCCAAATCCAGCTCTCATATCTTTTTCAGCTCTTTATTCTTTTTCAGCTCTAGGGCACGTGCACTTGCCAAAGAGAAGAAGGGAGAGGGAGAAAGCACCCCACAGTAGGGCATGGTCATGCCACAGACCCTCCCCTCCATCTTGGGATTTTGGGGTGCACACACATATGCGTGATAAGATTTTCTTTAGGTTTTGTCATAGGGTGCATGTGCTCACTAGAGAGACACAAGAGAAAGGGAAAGTGAGAAATCACCCCCTAGGAGTGATGGCCACACCACAGTCCTTTCTCTTCCATTTTCTTCGCAGACTTTTGGGCACACATACGCACGTACCTGGTGTGATTTTCAAGCTCCCAGGTCCAAGATAAGAACTACAGTCGGCCGTGTGGGAATCCAGTGCCTTAACCACCACACGACCTGCTGGCCTCTGACGTTCTTTTCAAGCCACCAGGTCTGAGACTTGAACTGCATGGTCAACCATTGGAATCTGGCTCTCTTACCCACCAGACCATGAGCCAGCCTAGGATTTCATTCTTTTTTAGCAGAATTATAGAACCTAAGATCTGCAAGACCCTGGAGAACGCTGCTGCAGTATCTGGAACCCAGTAATGCTGGTTCACGCAGTCTCTCCAGACCCTTTTGTTTATGGCTTCCCAAAAACTGGCATAGAAGAGAAGCCAGGCAAGAAGAGAAGGACAGTGGGCGATGGGGCCACTGGTGGCCATCTGGACTCCCCTAGTTAGAGCAGAGCCATCTCTGGCCGACAGAGGGGCAGAACAGACCAAAGGCCAGGCTCCGTGGGGGGAGCAGCTGTGCTCTCCATGCGTGGTAGGGCTCTGTTCAGCTTCTACCTTCCAGTCTTGTTTGAGCTAACCAGAAACTTCATGGGTTGGAGAAAACTCATTTTTCTCTTCTCAGCATCTGGACAGGTAAGTGACTGGCAGGTTCCCGCGAACACGGGCAGACCTGAGCCTGCGTGCGTAAGCACTGTGGGAGAGCAGTCAGCAGTGTTAGGTGGACAGTCGTGGGAGAGCGGTCAGCAGTATTACACGGACAGGCCGTGGGAGAGCGGTCAGCAGTGTGATGTGGACAGGTCGTGAGAGAGCGGTCAGCAGTGGACAGGCCGTGGGAGAGCTGTCAGCAGTGTGACGCGGACAGTCATGGGAGAGCGGTCAGCAGTGTGACGCGGACAGGCCGTGGGAGAACGGTCAGCAGTGTGACGCGGACAGTCGTGAACCTGCAGCCTGGAGGCATCTAGCATAGACTCCCGCTGTTATGCAGATCAAGTATGAAAGAATGAAGCGAAACATGTTTCCATTTATCTAGCATTTTCCGTGCTCCTTTTGGCTTTTAGTATATGCAAATATATTTATTTTATGGGAGCAAGGAAGGAAACCTAAAGGAAGCCTTGATGAAAACATTAAAAACTTGGAATCGTCAGTATCGAGTTTCTTTTTTTCTTTTTTCTTTTTTTTTTTTTTTGGAGAGGTTTTTGCTATAGGGTGCGTGCACTCACCAGAAAGACAGAGAGAGACAGAGAGACAGAAAGCGAGAAATCACCCCCCAGGGGGGATGGCCACACCACAATCCCTTCTCCTCCATTCTCCTCTCAGGATCTTGGGCAAGCATGCACACACGCCCGGTGAGATTTTCAGCCACCGGGTCCGGGACACGAACCGCAGTCGACTACATGGGAGTTCAGCGACATAGCCATTATGCTAACTGCTGGTCCCAGTAACGAGTTTATTTTCGGAAAGCCACTTCTAAACCTCCCTAGAAGGATGGAGTACGCCAGTGCTCTAATGGTTCTCCCTGGAGACCCGAGAGAACAGAATTCGGCTGTCTCCTATGCTTCCGTATTGGTAGGCCTGCCTGCCTTACCTTCTGCTGCTTCACTAGTTGTGCTTTAATCGAACGTGATTTCTTTACCTCCACTGAAGAGCATGGAAAAATGCGAACTACAGCCATTTCTGGAATAACCGTGTACGCTATTTCACTTTTGCTTTCCTAGGGTGAGTTCCGCATCCTGGTACTTCCTCAATGTGTTTGGGCTTCGCAGCATTTACTCTCTGATTTTGGGCCAAGACAATGGTAAGAAGCATGTCAGGTTTAATAAGCAAATATTTCAATAGATGCATCGTCCATACTAGAGCCAGAAAAATCACAAAGGTTATGCTGTTTGTTAGCCTAATGCTCTGCTCTTTCCTTAAGATTCTGAGGTATCATTCAAAAGAATCTTAAAAATGCCAAAAGTCAGGAGCCAGCAGGTGGCGTGGTGGTGAAGGCACTGCACTCTCCCATGTGGCCGACCACAGTTTGCGTCTTGGATCTAGTGGCTTGCTTTCTCACCTTCCTTCTCTCTTTCTGTCTCTCTGTGTCTTACCCTAGTCAAATTAAAATAAATAAATGAATAAATAAAATAAATAATTCTTTAAAAAAAAAATTCCAAGGGTTAAACTGAGCATCTGAATACTCCCTGGAAACCACTGGGACAATATCTGGTATCCCAAAAATCTGAATCCATTTCACGTGCAGGATCCAGAGCCAGCAATGTAAGCCTATAAACCTGAAACCTAGAGGGGTCTGGATTGGGGGCCAGCAGGTGGCATGGTGGTTAAGGTGCTGGACTCCCACATGGCGGACCATGGTTCAAGTCCCAGAGCTGGCAGCTTGCTTTTTCTCTCTGTCCCCCCTCTCTCTGATGAGTGTGTGTGCCCTATAGCAAATTAAAAGATAAGAATAATAAATACATTAAATTAAGTAAATCCTTTTAAATAAAATGGTTTTTAAAACGGTCTGATTTGATCAGTTAGTTCGTTGACTAAAGTCCTTGCCAGTCCTAATCATGACTTTCTTATTTAATGGCTGGGACCTCACACAAGTTACGTAACATCTCTAATCTTCTGATATCTTACCAGTAAGCAGGGACCTTAATAATTAATGTTGGGGGACCAGCAGTTAGCATAATGGCTGTGTCGCTGGACTCCCATGTAGTCGACTGCTGTTCAAATCCCGGACCCGGTGGCTTAAACTCACACCAAGCACGTGTGCATGCGTGCCTAAGATCCCAAGAGGAGAATGGAGGAGAAGGGATTGCGGCATGGCCATCCCCCCGGGGGGTGATTTCTTGCTTTCTGTCTCTCTTTCTCTGTCTTTTGGACAAGCGCACGCAGTATAGCAAAATCCTCTCAAAAAAAAAAAAAAAACGATAATGTTTGGAGTTGTTAGGAGTGGATGAGAGAGAATGTATACGGCACTTTGTGAAGTACCTGGCATACGGTCGTTGCTCAGTAAATCGTGGCTGTTATTATCGTTGAAACTTAAAGCCTAGAGCTTCCATTAGACATTTCTTCTCTGCTATTGTCATCCTCTTCTCGGGAGAGGTAAAGTGACCTGCCCAAGTGTCACACGGGCAGTGGGTGCCAGAGCCAGTCAGTGAACCTGTTGCCCAGTTCCGTAACCCACCACCAAGCAGCAGTAAATGCCGGGGGTTGTTCTCCATGGGTACCAGGGTGTCTGCCGAGCCAGCACTCACATCGTGGTGTCTTACGTTGCAGCCGCCGATCAGTCACGAATGATGCAGGAGCAGATGACTGGAGCTGCCATGGCCATGCCTGCAGACACCAACAAAGCGTTCAAGGTATGCTCCGCTCACCGCCCAGAGCTGCAGCGAGGCTCCGCAAGGTGCTGCTTTAAAATGGATCCCTGGGACCAGCAAGTAGCGTCATGGCTACATTGCTGGACTCCCATGTAGTTGACTAGAGTTTGAATCCTGGACCCAGTGTCTTAAACTCACTCCAGGCACATTTGCGTGCATGCCCAGGATCCTGAGAGGAGAATGGAGGAGAAGGGATTGTGGAGTGGCCATCCCCCTGGGGGGTGATTTCTCACTTTCTGTCTCTCTGTCTTTCTCGGTCTGTCTGGCGAGCGCACGCGCCCTATGGCAAAAACCTCTCCCAAAAAAAAGAGAAAAGATCTCCCAATGTGATTATAGTATGGTTCTATTGTTTGAATTTAAGTTTAGCAGAAATATATTTTACATGTCTCTTGTTTCTGAGATAGAGTCATCTATCAAGTAAGCTGGAGATTCTTGATATTTTTGCTTGTTTTTAAATGCTCACTGCATTTAATCCACTGTATGTGAAGCCATCAGAAGGATAGGCATAGATGAATGGAATAGAATTGAGAGTTCGGAAATAAACACACGTTTAGAATCAGCTGATTTTCAACAAGGGTACCAAGACAGGCCAGTAGGGGGAAAGAACAGTGCTGACAACAGAAGGTGCTGAGAAAACGAAACCTACATGCAAATGAAGGAGTCTGGACACCCACTTGACACCATGTATGGAAATAAGTCAAAACGGGTCAAAGAGCCAAATGTTACATGATTCTACTTATATGAAATATCTAGAACAGGAAACTTCGTGGACACAGAAAGTAGGTTAGCAGGTACCGTAGGCTGGGAGGAGGGAACAGTGGGGAGCTCCAGCCTATGGTCCAGAGTTTCTATTTAAGGGGATGAGAAGTTTGGAAATAGGTAGTGGAGATGGTTATACAACATTGTGAGTGTAATTGATGCCACTGATTGTTGACGTAAACTGGTTAAAGTGGCTTGGAGATGGTTTTGTTATAGAGTGCCTGTGCTCGCCAGAGAGACAGAAAGCACAAAATTACCCCCCGGGGGGAGTGGTCACGCCGCGATCCCTTCTCCATTTTCCTCTTGGGGTTTTGGGCACATATGCACGCGTGCCCAGCATGAAATATTAAGCTGCCAGGTCCAGGACTCGAACTGCGGTTGACTACATGGGAGTCAACCACGTAACCATTATGCTATGTGCTGGTCCCGTATTACAGTGTTTTGACTGCAGCCTGTCACATAAGGTCAGGTGCGAACATTCCACTTGTGTCACTCAAGTAGAATTTTGGGGCATTTCAATTTCCAGACTCTGGGACCGCCAGCAGCAGCCAGCGGCTTAAAGGGAGGCAGTACTAAGGACTTCTCTCTGTGATGACACACGTGTCCTGGAGTTAGGCAATTGTACATATTTATGAACATACTAAAGTATACACATACACATTGAAAGGGTGAATACAGGCCTGCTACATGGCCTATCATGCGGGCCAAGACTGGAGCCTGGCGGCTTGAGAGACACGCCAGACATGTGTGCGTCTGCGCCCACAATCTCCAAAGGAGGGCGAGTAGAAGGGACTCAGTGTGGCCATTCCTCGGGGGGAGTGCTTTCTCTTCCCCCTCCCCCCTCTCCCCTTCTGCCTTTTTCTTGTATGTACATATACCCTCTAGCCAGAAAAATGGGGGAAGGTGAATTTGATAACATGAATTTGTATCTCAGAAAAATCACACACACAAGTTAATATTCATATTGCACATTAAATTTCATAAAGCATTTTCTTAAAACCTTACTAATGGAAGGCAAAAGCAGATTAAAAGAATAATGGAGAAATAGAATCTCTTTGAAAATTCTGCTCAATTTTTTTAGAGAGACTTTTGTTATAGGATACGTGCGCTTGCCAGAGAGACAGAACGCCATTGTGTATTCGACTTAGGCCCCTCGAAGATACTCACGGCCTCTTCTTATGTCAGAACACCTTTGACATAGCTGTTTTGTCAAATCCCTTTGCAGGTGACAGGCTCTGTGATGACAAGGCTCAGAATCACAGAGCATTAACTTGCTTGTCGCACGTCTATCAAGGACAGTGCAGGATGAAGCAGGGCGTAGTGATCATGAGTGGATAGACAGGTTAGGCACTGGGGCTCTGGAGCCAGACCACAATTTAAATCTCACTTACTTTTACTCACTCCCATGATCTTGAAAAATGATTTGACCTCTCTCAGTCTTCATCTTCTTTGACAATTGATTGGGGAGGGAGGGAGGAGGATGGGTGGGACCACCAGGACCTGCCTCCTGGACTGAATGAGCATAGCCACGTAAACAGCTTACCCCACAGCCCTCAGTAACAAGCCTCTCTCCCTCTGCCCTGGTGTCCTCGTCTCCACAGACAGAGTGGGAAGCTTTGGAGCTGACAGATCACCAGTGGGCACTGGACGATGTCGAAGAGGAGCTCATGGCCAAAGACCTCCACTTTGAAGGCATGTTCAAAAAGGAATTACAGACCTCTATTTTTTGAAGACCGAGCAGGGATTCGCTGTGTCGGCAACGGAGTAGCGCTTGGCCTTGTAACTGTCGTTGGAGCTGGAGCCTCTGAATAAAAAGGAGGGGCAGGAGCTGGCGGGTGTGTGCAGGCTTGTTCTTGTCTGAGCTGGATCCCCTTTAAGTCTGAAACCAGAGCGAACAGGAGGAGTCTGCCGGTGACCTGCCATTTAAAAAGTATTCGGAATCTTCCTTCTGGTGACTGGTAAGGCAGAGAAAGGGGAAACCCAAGTTAATGAGAATATGTAAAACCGTAGCAAAAATTCAGTCTTCGGGAGAAGCATTGTCAATTTTAACGAATTACTATGTTCCGTTCAGTCAGCCTGACTTCTAACCACCCTAAACACCCGTTTTCTAGGGATCCAAGCACCATGCATTTCATCTTTAATCTTTTTGTTAGTGTTCTAAACTTTCTTTACAGAAGTAATACATTTTCACTACTGAAAATTTAGAAACTACAGACGAGCACAATGAATCTCCCTGTTGTTTACGTGGAGCCTGCAGAGTGGCAGAGAGCGAATGTGTCACAAGTAGTTAAAAAACTTGACAGAGTGAATCCCCAGGCCGGGACAGACCTTCCGTCTCTCTTAATCCTGTCCAGTGGAAATGGGTGACTCTGAGGCACCAGCGGATTCTCAGTGCCTTGGGGTCATCACAGACAGGTTAAATAACGCGAGGTCTTGACCTGGACGCCGTTGGCAGATCGGCGGGGCTGCACCGTAAAGGCTGCTCTGTCCGACAGAAGACCTCATTTTACAGTCACTCGGGACAGAAGGGAGAGAGGGCAGTTGCTGGCAGACACGTAGATGAGGGTGCCAGGAATAATTCTGTGTGGATTATCCGTCCCGGAGACGTGGCAGGAGGCCGTTTGTACCAAGAAGTGGATGTGATTTGCATGTTGAGCACTGTAATCAAAAACAAACAGCTCCTGACTCTACAAATAAAAAAACATCCTGTTTTCTCTGTCTGTGTTTGTGGTCACTAACAGCCTCCTGCCTACACTTTTTTTGTTGTTTAAGAATTATTTTATTGGGACCAGCAGTCAGCGTAATGGCTATGTCATTGGACTCCCACATAGTCGCCCGTGGTTCAAGTCCTGGACCCGGTGGCCTAAACTCACTCCAGGCGCATGTGTGTGTGTGCCCAAGATCCCGAGAGGAGAATGGAGAAGGGATTGCGTGGCCATCCCCCCTGGGGGTGATTTCTCGTGTTCTGTCTCTCTGTCTCTCTCTGGTAAGCGCACGCACCCTATAGCAAAAACCTCTCCCAAAAAAAAGGAATTATTTTATTAAACTTTTATTTATTTTTAATTTGGCCAGAGAGAGCTGGGGGGCGGCAGGGTGGGGAGGATGATGAAAAAGCAAGCCGTCAGGTCTGGGACTCAAACCAGTTGGCCATGTGGGAGTTCAGCGCCCTTAACCATCATGCCACCTGCTGGCCCCCTGCCTACACTTGTGATTGTCTATCTTGGACCCATGCTGGAGAGTCTTAAGATGAAAAAGATGTTGTCCTTACCCTCCGAGAACTCATAAGAGAGACTTGCTTTGTTTTTAATGGAAGGAGGAAGAGGGAGATAGATACTTGGGACGGGGTCCTGTCCCAGTCCCCCAGTCAGCTAGGACCACCGGCACTTACCATCATGTCCAGCCTGATGAGACTGGGCTGGAACATGAGCCCCCACCTTCCACGTGGTCTCAGCCAGCATGCAGCGGCTCCCTGTCCCTTGTGCCACCAGAGCTGGGCCAGAGAGACCGCAGTCTGAGATCACAGGACCTCCGAGAGTCCGCTGGGAGCTCTGACCTTCCCTCCAGAGAAACGCAGAGATTTCTCAGGTAACGCAGGTGCATAAGTGCCTCCATTTAGACAAACTCCGAGAGGCAGAGTCCCAGGATACGTATCGCTACTTCGTAATGATCACAAACGCAGGAGGAAGGCGGGAGAAAGGCAGCAGCGTAAATGTCCATCCACAGGGAACTAGCAAAGGGAAATGCCGGCGTGTACGCACACACAGACACACAAATAGTCCTAGCAGCCACCGGATAAGAAACAGCCCAACCGACCATCAACCAATGATGGCTAAACAAAATACGGTATATCCAGGCTGGTCCCATAGCCTAGGGATCAAGAGAGCCGGATCCCACCGCAGTTTGAATCCAGGCCCTGGCAGCTTGAAAACCATGCTGGGTGCATGTGCGTACAAGCCCCAAACCCCAGCAGGATGGCAAAACGGAGGAAGAGGAATTGCAACATGACTACACTCCACTGGAGCGGTGCTTTCTTCCTGTCACTCTCACTCTACTCTTACGAGCACATCCGCCCTCACAATAAAAAAGCCAATCTCAGGACCAGCAGATGGTATAATGGTTATGCCACTGGACTCCCACGTGGTTCGAGTCCCAGACCCGGCAGCTTAAAACTCAAGACGGATGTGTGTGTGTGCGTATACATGCCGTAAATCCCAAAAGGAGACCAGAGGAGAAGGGACTGTGATGTGGCCACCCCCGCAGGTGGGTCATTTGCTTTCTTTCTCTGGTGAGCACACATACACCCTATAGCAAAAATCTCTCGAAAAATAAAACCAGTGTCAGTGAAACCTGCGTATGATCCCATTTTTTTATGAAATGCCCACAAAAAGCAGTCCAGCGAGCACATAGGTTCGTGTTTGCCTGGGCTTGGGGGAGGAGAATGGGAAGTGATTGTTAATGGATATGAGCTTCTCCTTGGGGTGACGAAACTATTCTAAAGCAATATGGAGAGTTGCACAACTCTGAATACGCTAAAAACCAGAAAGTACACCTGAGATGACTTTGGATATGAAGATTAGGTCTCAATGTTGTTAAAGGGGGGATGTCAAGGAGCCAGATCCCACACGGCCAACCACAGTTCAAATCCCAGCCCAGCCGCTTGAAAAACATGCCGGGCATGTGTACATGCAGTATACCTCCCAAATTCCGACACGATGGAGCGAGAGGAGGGACTGCGACATGATCATGCCCCGTTAGGGTGGTGCTTTCTTCCTCTCCCTTCCTGCCTCTTTCTCTCTGGCGAGCACATGCACTCTGGAAAAAAAGCAGAGAGTGCAGCGAAAGGACCATATTCCCATGCAGTTGTGGGCCAGGCTGCGAGAGGTTTTGCAGGCCATCTCAGACTGCAGGTAGAGGGCATCCGGGAGGCAGCTGTGACTGTCAGATATAGAGGTGTGTTCCTGAGCTCAGGCACCTTAATGCCAGCCCCCATCTCCCTCTGGTTTGGGCTCTGTTTCCTCACTGGAGTCAGCCTGGAAAGATCAGAGGTCTCAGAAACCTAGGGCTTAGCACAAGGCCCCTTCCAAGACAGACAGGTGCCTCTCAAGGAAATGTAGTTCTGCAAGTCGCCCACAGAATGGTCGGGCCATCCCTCGTGCAAGCTCTCCCTTTCCCCCGTCTCTTGGTGAACCGTTTTCATTTGGAATGTTTGTCATGGACATTTTCAACATGCACAAGAGTGCAGAGACTAGTAGAATGCATTTTCATGTGGCTACCACCCTGCTTCGGTAATTATCAGTATTTTTCCAATCCTTTTTCTCTTGTCTCCCAAATCGACCCTCTCCCCCCAACCCATAAGGATGGGGGGGGGGCTGGAATATTTTTAAAGCAAGTCCATGATTATCATCTTATTTCACACATAAATATTTTAAGTTGGTGCCTCTAACAGAAAAGAAACTCTTTTAGAAGAATTACCTATTTTATTTTATTTATTATTATCATTTTCTTTTTAGAGAAGTTTTTGCTATAGGGCGCGTGTGCTTGCCAGAGAGACAGAAAGCGAGACGTCACCCCCCAGGGGGATGGCCACGCCGTAATCACTTCTCCATTCTCCTCTCAGGATTTTGGGCATGCATGTACATGCCACCAGGCCCAGGACTCAAACCGTGGTTAACTACATGGGAGTCCAGAGACATAACCGTTACTCCATCTGCTGGTCCCATTATTATTATTATTTAATTTGACGAGAGGGAGAGGAAAAGTGAGAAAGCAAGCCACCAGGTCTGGGACTTGAACCGCTGTCAGCCATGAGGGAGTCCAGCACCCCAACCGCCGCACCACCTGCTGGCCCCCAGATAAGGAACTTTCTAAAGGTAACCTTTCAAAAGATGAGTTTTGTGTAGTCACTGTGGGTGGAGGCTGAAATCTGAGGGAGAACGAGTCAGGGCTCCAGACGCCCTCAGGCTTCCTCTCGCCAGTCTAGCCGGTCCCCCCGCCACCCCCGCCCTGTGCCCTCAGAGTTAAGGACAGTGGGCAGAGCACAGACAAGTGTCCAGCCGGCACCGTCACCCACCTGTTCTGCCTTGGGTTGATTTCCGAGTATCTGCCAGAGTGACCAGCCAGCAAGAAAATGCCACCCAACTGTCCTGGAAAGTTCTCTAGAAAAAAAAGAAAAAGAAAAGAATGTGTGTAAGGTGTGCAGTCCAGATCTTAGCTGACGAAGAGCTCAGGAAGTGGGAGCTACCGACCACTCCCCGTATATGCGGCCATCCCTGTCTGCAGGAGGGTGCCAGGAGCACCTGGTGCCCCATGCTCCCCTTTACGGTCACCTGCTCCCAGCCAGTCTCCTCTTTCCTCAGGAATCGGCTTTCATCGTGGCCCTTAGCCAAAGGGGTCACAATCTCTCTCGCCTTTGTCTGGCATCTCGGAACCCTCGCCAACCGGGTGGCTTGGAAACATGATGGGACTGGGGCTCCAGGCTCCAAACAGGGCAGCCAGGGGGCAGCTGCCTGGCCTGTGCGGGTTGGCGGGTCAGGCACACACACTCATCCCCTTAGGAGTGACAGGGAGGGAACCAGGTCCAGCTCTGAGCCTGTGAGGGCTCATAGTGTCTCCAAAAGAGACCATCAGAGTTCACGGGGCAGTGGAGGGAGGATCTGGACCCCTCAGCTCTGTAGGGTCCCTAGGACTGCTCTCCCAACGAGACTGCCCACAGGGGACAAGATGTAGACCCCCCAAAGGAAATGAAGACACTGGATGAGGAATAGATCTTGGGCAACCTTCCAAAATGCTAGTAATCAATTATATAAGGAGTCAGGATCCAGAACACTTCCCCTAAGATTAGAACTCCTGAATAGAAGATGAACACATCAAGCAAATGTAGAATTACACACTAAGGGTAAAGAAACCCACTGTACAAAAAGAAATGAAGGGCCAGCAGGTGGCATGGTAGTGAAAGCACTGGACTCCCACATGGCCGACCTTAGTTCAAGTCCCAGACCTGGTGGCTTGCTTTCCACACTTTCCCTCTTTCTCTCTCTCTGGTGAACTAAAACTAATAATAATAAATAACTTCAGGACCAGCAGTTAGCGTAATGGCTATGTCACTGGACTCCCACGTAGTTGACCGCG